TGAACGCTATGTGTCGCTTTTCTAGAGTTGATAAATTAATATATTTTTTAAATAAATAATTTATTGGATTCAATTCTATTCCGATTCTAAATTTAAGTAATAAGTATTATCGTAAAAAAGTACAGAATGATAGCCGATAATTATTTCGTAAACGAGATGATGTAAAGTCCTTCTGGTCGCCATTCTATAACTTGACGAAACTCTTAAAGTATAGTACAGTACATATTCAAACATTTAATGCAATCTGCATTACCGCTTTGAAGTGCTAAACTCGAGTAGAGAAAAGTATAAAATAATGATTAGTGCTTCTCAAATTAGTATATATACCTATCTAGAAATTGTAATTGCATCAAAGATGATTCTACAACTGTAATTAAAAGAGAAGTCGCTTTCTGAAAGAGTAATATTGGGATTTTAATCTCTTTGGAGAACTAAACGAGTCTGATAAATGCAATTTTCAGATTTATTAAATCACTCTCTTCGAAGAATTTTCTATTTTAATGCAGATTTAGAGAGATAATTAACCTACGTTCATTCTCCTTAACATAAAGCGAGCGAATGAGATTTATTCCTTGGGAGATCTCGATTTACAATAAGATATACTGGATTTCCGTATATTTGTTATACACAGAACTTCAATATATTTTTTCCAAACTTTTTTTTATAAAAATTCTATTTGCTAAAAATGAGCACAAAACATCGGAGTCAATAGTATCGATTGGTACGATCATCGCTACATCTTCGTTGTATTTTTTTAAAATTATTATTGTTAACGTCAGGTGGCGCTTCTGCCAGTTGCATTTTTTTAAATGATAAATTATTAACGACGTAAGTACCGTAAGTTTGCCTTCAATTTGTATTTTGTACAATTATTACGTATTAAAACTTTACAGTGTGTTTATACAAACAAGTATACAACTTTTATTTTTTTGTTTACTTTGATTTAGCTACTCCAGCCATCTCATTTAATGTATTTTAGTGTTATGTAAGTGATTTTCGTTTAATTCGTATAAATAAATAACAAAATGGGAATCAAAAATGTCTTACACGAATAATGAGTACTGTGACGATTTTTGTTGCCAAGAAATTCAATTTATTTAAAAACTTTATAAACTTTGGCAGTTTTAATCAGTTAAAAGTCAAAAGTATTAATGAAATTAAAGATATCTTTCTAAGTTTAAACTATACTTGTTATTAAATCCAATGATGATAAAAGGAAACAGTAATTACATACTTTTAGATCATTTATTCACATATTTTGTGACACACACACACAAACTTTATATAAAACTAACTATCTGAAAATAATGTACAGTATCTAAAATGAATATCAAAACATCTATAATCTGCTAAATTAAAATTACTGAAGCAGAACTTTCAAAAAATTATATGTAATTATGAAAAATATTACGGAAAAAATCCAATATATAATTCGTAATTATAAATTAATCTGCTTTATCTCATAAATATACAATTCAACATTAATTAAATTATATGGCTGAGTTAATCAATGCAGTTTTAACAGTGGATGAAGTTTAAATAATGCTAACATTTTCGACCCAGTTAATGAGCCGTCTTCGAGCAAGGATAGTTTGAAGTGGAATCATTTGTTAAACGTACATTGATTAATTTGGCTGAGTAATCATTGGCTAGTTCATTAAATTATATATATTTTCCTGCAGATAAACTTGAATTTCATTCACAAACTGTAAAGCATTATGACGAATATTCAAAAGCCAGAAAAATATTCCCACAAAGCAATATTTAGTCGTACAAACTTGGAAGAGAATGAGAAAAAAGTTACAACAGTTATTAATTTGAGTAATCCTAAGAGAAATAAACCGACAGTTGAGAGACATCCGAAAGTAGAAGTTCTGCATTTAAATGAAGAGCAGTTTTCAAGAAATTCAAATATAGTTGTTTGCCCTTTTTTAAATACAACAATGAGGATATTAAGACAACTTGAAGATATTAAAACTGCTAAAGTTCATAGAAAACAATTAAAATGTGACGATATCAATGTGTTAAAGGTAATGAGTCTTAATATCTTTTATTTTACAAAAGTTTTAAGTGTACTTGAAAGTTATTAACAAAATTAATTTAAAACAATGTTCTTTTGATTTTCAGGGTATTAGGTGTGTGAACATTCCAAGAAAGCAACTGATTTATCACAATTTGATTAAAATTGAACTGTAAAATTCAAACAAACATTTGTATATATTTTTATCATAAAATAATGTCAAAAATTTATTTAAAACTTACAAAAATAAAACACATCTGTGATATAAGAATTAGATACACAACAAAAACTTGGTCAGGAATTTTGGAGGTTTTTATCATGTGATTTCAACAGTATAGAAAGCAAATCAAATTACCAATACAGGTCATTTTAAAATTTGCTTTATATAACAAATGTAAATTTGGATAAATTTCATTAAAGCAAAGAAATAAAAGCATTAGTAATGTTAAATATGGCAGTATCTATACATATTCTGTCCAGCAGATAAATTATAATAGTTACATGTAAAGATAATTTTATCAAATGGCTCTAAAATATTAAATTTCTTAAAATACAGCAAAACAAATTTGATATATCACAAGATTTTAACAAACAGTGGTATTAAATTATCAATATATATATATACATAAAACATGTAGCTTTTTTAGTTAGATTGATTAATTACATTCAGATTAATATACATATTTTTTGAGTCTCTCTCAATGTTTGTTCATTCATATATTAATTTCATATACTCTTAAGATTATTTGGAATTCAGAAATTGTATTGCAATATTTATATTTGTGAATACAGTGCATAAACATAGGATATTCACTGTGCATTTAAGTGTGCAAGTTGTAAACTCTTAAAGATAATATTTTCATTAAATTTTGAATTATAAAAAACTCCAAATTTGATTGTCATAACTATTATAAATGAAAAAAACAGTTAGAGAGACCTTACATTTACAGATTTTCATAAAAAAAAACGAAAAAAAAAAGAGATAAAAAAATTACACATCTTCTGAAATCCTAAATAATAAGGATTTCAACCAGTCAAACTGTTCATATTGTCAAAAAGAAAGCACTCAGGTATGTATATAGATATATATATCTAATATGAAATTTTATTTCAAAGATATGAGCATGGTTTTTTTTACTTTTTCTTAGAAAGTTAAGGCACAAAATTTACATCTAGCACTCAAAAACTTTGATTTCAAGTTTTCACTATATTATTGAAAATAAATGCCCAAATTTCAAATAATAATAAATCTGATTGTAATTGGAAGTCATGTTTCAATACTGATAAAATTTAGAATATTCTTTTACATACATAACATCACAAAACAATAATTTGATAGACAATAACTATATCGTAAATATTTACATCAATTTTTAAGATATCATAAATTATTTACATCTGATTACTCTTATAGAGTATACAAATAATTGTAATTAAGGTTTACATTAAAATTTTATTAGACAAAAGAATCAATTTATAAAATTTTACAATTCTTGTAAAAAGAAACTATACAATTGCATTTTTTTTTTTTTTTGAGCCATTCAGATTAAAAATATTAATCTTTACATTTACACGTATACATTTAATGGGTAGTATCTTTAGCATGAGAATGAGCCATAGCAATGGATATACATTGAACCCACTGTTCTGTATTTTTGCTATCTTTTGCTTTAAGAACAAAAGTCCTGTCATCTGTAAATATTTCAAAAGCTTTTGGTATGTTGCGACGGCTACTTATTGCCCTCACGCTACGAATTTGACTAACTTCGATAGGAGACACTTCCTTATCACCTTTCTGTAAAGTTTTAATAATAAATATTATTATTTAATTTTCAGCTTAAAATAAAAACGTTTCTGTGAATATACATACCGAACCTCTATAGGAAAGATGTGCACCTGATAAAGTAAAATATCTAGTTCTCCAGCGACGAAATAATTTCCACCTTCCTTTTTTCTCTTTTAATTGGCCCTTAAATAATAAAGATTAAAATAGTTTTCTTATTATTTGGGAAAAATTAATACTTTATATAATTTCTATATTTCAGAATGTCATAAATTATAAGTATACATTTAGCAGTATTACAAACTTAATTCTAATTTTTGTAGATCAATTTTGGAAAATATAATATAAGCTATCTTTTTCAATGGGAGAAGAAATATCAGCTATCAGTAAGATTAAGTTTTTTAACTAAAAAAATTACCAATGGTGAAAAACCCACCAAAAATAACTGGAGAAGGAATGAAAAATTTGATTTTTGCTTAAAATTATTAAAACTTTATTAAATTATAAAATTTCTTTTATCACATTTTTCAAAAAGACTATCATCAAATAATTTGCCAAATTGTCCTGAATCTAAAATATAAACTTTTAAGTTCTTGCTATTGCAAAAATGTATTTAGCCAACTAGTTTGTCAATATTTGAATTTTGGCAAACTAGTTGGCTAGACTGACAAATCAATATATTTAGTTTATTGTGGAAAATTTCTACCATGGATAAAATTACCAAGACAATATTGTATAAGTTATAAATTTTGAGTTTTGATCCCCTGTTACATTCAAGAAAAATCAATTATTACTGATGTTTTAAGTCCAGCTTATATTGTGTTAAGATTTATCAAATGATCAATAAAGATTTTTTTCTTTTGACCGTTAAGTTTTTGTAAAAAATTTTTTTTTACCAAAATATGAATTTGAACAGTTGCCATAGAAATGAATTATTTTTATTGGTGAAACATTCATGTAGAACTTGTGATGTATAGACATAACATGATATTAGATATTTTAATAATTGGGCTGCAATTTGAAAAAATTGTAGACCTATAAAATCCCACTGTCGTCTGTCTGTCTTTCCTTCCTTCCTTAATCACAAGAGCAGAGTTAGATAGATGAAAGCCAAGACATGTATGGAAAGCTTAAAGACAGGAGGCTCATTAACTGTATATGAACTTATGATACAAACTGGAGATCACATTATTTCAAATCAAAAATTTTCCCCTGTAAGAAGTTAGAGGATGATGTCATGACTGTTCCTAACAGGGAAAGTATTATGTACAGGGGCAAGACATTACTAATGTGAAGTGGAGAGCATATACTTTAAATTAATTTTAAAATATATGATTAGAAAATATAATCTGGCATTGTGTTGATTCACAATAGATAATTGCTTGTTTTATATACATATATATGGCTGTATCAGTATTAAAATATATATTATTAATACTAATACAGACACTAATTTCTCTCGATGTTTTAACTAATATTTTCAATTAGTGTTTTTATTTGAAGGAAGGACTACAAACTTATCACTGTATAATTTCCAATTGTTCAAAATACTATGAATAATGAAACTATCTCTCATTAAACATCTGATGTGAAATATATATATATATTATACTACATATACAAATATACTTTGAACTAAAATTACAAGTTGTTTGGAGAAAAAGTCAATTTTGAGTAAACATTATAAATGGAATTTGACTATTATTTACAATATTCATTTCTTTTTTTCTCAATTTATTATGGGAAAGTAATTAATATAATAATGGACAAGATTGTAATTTCAAATTTACTTAACATTTTTATTTAAATTTCAAATACAGCACTGTACAGTGCTAGTAATGCTCAAGAGTCAACTAGTAATCCAAAACTAGTCAACTCTTGAGTATCACTATTACCAATTTCCACTATTTCAAAATCCAGTTCCTACTAAACATGACATGATATTAATCCTGAGCTTGGCACAATATTAAAGACTTCTAGATTCAACAACTTGGACTGCTCAAAAAAAAAAAAAAAAAAAATGAACAGTATCTTATAACACAATACTGTATAAATATTGATATAAAAATCAGTTCCCAAAATTTACCACCAAAAATATTGTACCTCCCATCAAATTTCCAATGGTTGCTTCAATTTTCACTAAATTTAGTATGAATCCATCAACTTGGCAGCATGATTAGCAGCAACAGCAGTGTGCCCATGAGAAAATGGCAAAAGACAATTCAAAATCATTTTTAAAAGTTTTACAATTACTTCGAGAATGCTAAAATACAATAACATATGATCTATAAATGTTTTTGATTAATACAATGTACAGTCAACCCCCCTATAACACTGTTGATAATTCCATTTTATATGAATTCCATGTTGTATGAGTCACTTAGATTTTACAAATACATGAGCCATTCACAGCCCGGCACACATATTTGTAAAATCTGTGACTCGTACAGCATGGAATTCATATAAAATGGAATTATCAACAGTGTTATAGGGGGCTCAACTTGTACTTATGCAAATAAACAAATGTTTTCTTTCCCAATGATTAAGCCAGGGGCCGTTAAACTTTTTTTTCATAGCAGGTCAGATAACAGAATGACGAGCACGGGCACATAACCATTTTGTTCAATACAGCATACTGAATACACAAAAAATAAAGACAACTAACTTGATTGCTGCAGCAAGCTTGTAATTGATTTTCTTAGGAACTTCATTGCAGATACCACTACTTATACAAAAAGTGCTCAGATATCCAGTAACAAAAAGTTGCCAAATTTTTTATTTCACTGATTTATCTAAAAGTTATATTATTGTCAGATGCAAAAATCAGATTGGATCAATNCAAAACAAGTTTTATAAATTTTTAAAAATTAATTTAAGAAATTATTCAATTAAATAATATATTTTCATCCTCAAAATTATCCTTCATCAATCTTCCTGATTAATCTGAGAAATTTATATCTATCAAGATCTCTCCGGAGAACAAGCGTTAAAGCTTTTGGATATAGCTTAATAGAATGAATTTAGAGTAAAATGAAGACAAAATGGTTGATGTTAATCGTTTCTTTAGCAGTTAATCTCATCAATAACATGTCTCCAGTAGCATTGAGAGTGGCTATTTTGTCGATGGCCCTTTTTTGCGTCGTCTATGCTAAAAGCATCGGACAAGAAAAGGCCATACCATATGAACTCGACGTAAGTTATTACTTTGTATTAATTTTTAACGACAAATTAACATTAAAAGACGTAAAAAATTCAATATAATTGCTAACAAACTCAATAAGATCGTTAATAAAGTAGAGAAGAAAAATTAAAGCAGATCCGCTGATGTGTAATTAGTTTTGTTAAGCAACAACTGTTCGCTAATTGATCTTCAGACTTGGATAATTAACTTAGTTTTGCCTTTATTTTTCTTCTGTTTTTTCCTTATAGTTTACGCCAGACGACGGATCTCCAGAAACAGCAATTATGAATTATCTTTTCGCTCGTCAGATGGTTAATAGACTTCGTAATAACTTGGATATAAGCGATCTTCAACGCAAGAGGTCCTACTGGAAGCAATGCGCTTTCAACGCAGTTTCGTGTTTTGGTAGGAAGTAATTAAATAACAGAAAAAAATCCTAATTACAATTATATTTATGTATTTAAAAGATTATATATTATTCTTCTAAAATTGCGTTGAGTTTTGTTTGTATATGATGTCAATTTTCATTACAATTAATGTTTTTTCTTGTAAGTAGTCATTATAGACTATAGTTCTTTATGTAAATAACTTGATTATGCTCTAAATAAATTATTGTAGTACGCATTATTTGTTTGGTAATTTATTTTAACGCATCATACGAAAAAAATTCTTGTTAAAAGTTCCCTTATTGTCATTTTAATCTTGAAAGAAATTGAGATAAGAGATGAAGAAGTAGACGATAATTGTGCAGCAAACAATTAAAACTCCACAGGAAAAAAATAAAACGAATTTTTTTATATCAATAGAAACAGAAATTAACTCATTAAGATAACAAACAATGATTTACACAACTAAGTAATTTTTTTTTTCGTGTAAGACAGAAACTTAAGCAGTAAAACATAATCAAATTCTAAGAATAGAACTGTTAATCGTATAAATCCTATTAATCTTTCTGACAATTGTTATTTTCTATTAAGATTAACTCAATTAATTTTTTTTATATTTTTCTTTATAAATTAATCTGTTTTTTTGACAAGAAAAAAAACCCGAAGATAGATGGATTAAGATCATTAATTTTGTTTATCGTTCAATCTAAAAATTTAAATTATTGATTTTTAGAAAAGAAAAGAAATGAATTAATTTAAATCTCTTAAAATCGGAATTTACAATAAAATAAGAATATTATAATAAAATAATATTAAAGATATAGGATACGTCAGAGGTCGTAATCTATCCTTTTCTTTATTTATGTTAATTATAAACCTGAAACCTCCTACTTTTTTTCTATCAGTGGGTAAACTAAGTAAGAATAGAAATGCGAATAACTCTAAGGAATAATGACAATATATTTGACTTCTTAGACAGGAATTGAATACGTTGGCTGCTATCTTGCTTCAGCACACATTCTCACAAGCCACAGGTCATAAATGACGTAATAAGTATACACCACCAGATTACTAAGGCACCTCACGCGACAATCTAAGCGTGAATGGGCAAATAAGTATTCAGTTTGATCAATGTACAACTCCTTTTATAAAAATTAAAAACGATTTTTCCCTCCTTTCCATGTTATTAAATTTTTATTTTTTTAAAGAAACTTAAAAACTAGGACGTGGAAAAATTCCCTACAGCTTTTTATTATCATTATTATTATTATTATTATTAGAAAAAAAATAAAAAAGAGAAAGTTAAAGAGTGACTTTTTTTTTTTTTTGGTCGTGTAGCAGCTGTTAATCGTGACACATGCAGTAATTACTTGTCATCTTAACGTCTGGTAGATAGTGATAAATATTTGGTTAAATGTTCTACTTGATGTCTATTATAGGATGTTTATCAGATGGTTTTGACAGCTTTCATCTAAACTAGGCAAGAAAATTTTCGAATATTTTATAATATAAACCTTTTGACTCATTCCACACCTATGTAAGATGGAAAGAAATATATATATATATATATATGTTTGATGTTGATGAGAACTGGCGTAGCATCTTCTATTGTAGGATGTTCACGAGTGGAAGATTTGTCATCAAGCAATTCTAACTTTTCTTCAGTTAGTAAACGACTCCCAAAAGGATTTTTCCCTTTGTGACAGAGCTAAGCATACATAAAATACACACAAGCATGCCTAGGTCTCTCTATAAGTAAAATCTTTCACGTCCTTGAGAGTAAAAAATAGGGAAAAAATTACATATATACATATATAAATGCAAATTAAAGATTATCTATAACGTGTTTTAATAATGATTTTCATCGACAGAAAGTTTTAAATAAAGAAATAAATATATATATATATA